GGTATCTGACTGTTTTTGGGAGGAATTGGAATAGGAGAGCTTTTAATGCAGATAGGGATGAAGAATGTCGAATTTTGATAGGAAGGGAATTCCAAAAACTAACAGAGCGAGCTATAAAAGAGTTTTGGAACGAGGCAGATCTGTGAGAAGGAATGTAAAGGTCGGAAGATCGAGATCTTGTGGAGAGGAGTGGACTGAGGACTTGTATAAAGGATGAAGGAGGATAAAGGCAGGTAGGCAGATAGTGGTTGATTAGGAATGGAGACTGCTTGGGTGCATTGTGAGAGAAAAGATTGGAACGAAGAGATGGAGCTATTGGAGAAGGAAAGTGATTTTAGTTTGTTGAAAAGGATGGAATGGTTAATGGAATCGAAGGCTTTAGAGAAGTCAAGAAGTATAAGGACAGTTAATTTTTTATTATCTATTGCAGTCTGAACATCATTGGTAATTTTCATTAAGGCGGATTGTGAGGAGTAGCCGGGACGGAAACTAGATTGGAGAGGATCAAGTTGGTTGGACTTTTCGAGGAAATTGGAAACTTGGGATTGCACCAATCTTTCTAGGGGTTTTGAGAGATTGGAAAGAATTGAGATTGGGTAAAAGTCTTTGGGAGAGGATGGATTAGGCTTTTTATTTAAAGGGAGTACAATGGCTTTTTTCCAAGAGGAAGGAAGTATTGAATTCTGTAGGGAGAAATTGTAGATGAAAAGAACTGGGAGGATTTCGGGAAGACAGCAAAATGAAGCTCTACGCCCTGATGATAAAGTTTGTCCGATATGCGGGCTTTCTTTTAAGGGCGAACGAGGTCTCGGAACCCACATTGCAAAAAAACATCCCAGGGAGGCGAATAATAATACATTGAGGGGCATAGTAAAGAACGTGATAGGTCCTAGAAATGGAGAGGGTGAGTCATCAAAAATAAAAGAGGACATTGTTGAATGGTCTACTACGTTCAAGAACCTTTTAAAGCAAGAAATGGTGAATACTGCGGATTTTGATGAGGCCGTAGGCAAGTTCCTAAAGTTCCTCAAAGTCATTAATGCGGAACTGCCAGGTCCCCAGCACCCAGCCGTAAAATTTTATAGGATGAGGAAAACAAATAAAATGAAAATGGCTGACAAGGGTGCTGGACAAGTCTCAAATCCGCAGAGGGCAAACAAAGTAGACAGGAGTCGTCGGCAAGAGCAGTATCAGTACGAGGTTGCCCAATATAATTATTATAATAAAAGAAAAAAGGTTGTTCAAACTGTAATGAATGCCGACGCTCCTAAACGGTGTCCTCTAAAAATGGCCGATATCGAGAGGCATTATAAAGACCTCTTTGAGAACGAAAATCTCTGCGGGCGTGCGGATTACGAACAGTGTGCCCCGATGCCGGATTTGCTGTCCATTGAGATAGAAGCTATCAGGAAAGCCATTAAATCAACATCAATGGACACATCGCCGGGGCCTGATGGAGTTCTGATCCGCACAATAAAATATTTTGAGGTATCAAGCATTATTAAAACGATTGCAGAGATAATGCTGAAGGTGGCCTATGTTCCGGAACCACTTCGACAAGGGCGCACAATATTGATATATAAGGGCAAAGGTGATATAAACAGTATCTCTACCTGGAGACCGATCACCATATACTCGATTGTGCGCCGAATCATAGAGAAGGTTCTGGACTACGAGTTAAGAAAGCAGGTCACCTTCCACAAGAGTCAGAGAGGCTTTATAAAAGGCCTCCCGGGAACGCACGTCAACGCGAGGATCATCGACGCGGTATTAAAAGATGCACAAAAAATGAAAAATGACTGTGCGATAGTTTTCCTCGACGTTGTCGGTGCTTTTGACAATGTTGGGCACCAACACATCGTAAGCTCCTTAGAAGCGAGAGGTGTGTCACCGAATCTTACAAATGTCATATCAGCTCTCCTTAGCACGAACACCATAAAGATTGGCAACGGTGTCCATGCAACTAGCCAGATCAAAGTGCTGCGCGGTGTACCCCGAGGTGGCCCCCTGTCGTCTTCACTCTTCAACCTGGCCATCGATCATCTCTACCGCGACCTGTGTGACGAGGACTTTTCCAAGAAATTTGGATACAAATTAAGGAATGAGCAAGATTGTGTGGTCCTCACAGGTTTCGCGGATGACCAGGCAGTGTCGGCGCGTGACAAGGGGGCTGCAGAAAGAGTGATTGACAGCATACAAAGAACATTTAAAGAAATTGGTCTGGCTATAAATCCTCTAAAAAGTATGGGCATCGTTATAAATAAAGGAGAGCTGGAAACTACGGTGCTCTCCCTTGAGAATGGTGAGTACATCCAAACATTGAAGAATGGAGATACGATTAAGTATTTAGGATGTACATTCTCGGGAGAGCTGCAATTCAACGAAGATTCGGTGACTAAATTGAATGATAATCTAAACAAGCTGGTAACCTCTTGCTTACTTAAACCTGAGCAGAAACTCAACATTGTCAATCAATATCTGTTCCCGGGTCTTACTTACCCTCTCCAAACTGCGCCCCTAACAAAGCTACGTCCTGCTATACTGGAGGGCATCGACACTATGATTCGCAGGAGCGTAAAGGCCATTATTGGACTCCCTGCGAATACTTCCACAGCGATGTTGTATGCCCCCAGGAGATACCGAGGATTGGGATTAATCCGCTGCCAATGGGAGGCTCCTCTTCAACATTGGTCCATTGCTCAGCGACTGTCCAATGTACCAGATGCCCTTTTTCAGTCTACCTTCGATTATTCGGCTGAAATTGCTGAATGTGCCGAGAGATTGGGGGTTGATCAGGGTCATCGAAATGTGAAAGCTCTACGGCAGTCGCTACGAGAAAATGCATTTGAGGAATGGGCCAACTGCAGGTGGCAGGGTATTGGTGTTCGCCATTTTAAAGAGACCCCGAAAGCGAATAGATACATCTACGAAAAGCAAGTACTTTCTGGGTCTGAATGGTCGAATGCCCTAAAACTAAACATTAATTATGCACCCCTGCGTGGAGTCCCAGGAGTCAGCGGACAGGTCAGAGAAGTTGGGTCCCTCTGCCGTAAATGCGGCAGAGAGTCTGAAACACCAGCACATGTGCTGGGAAAATGCCCCAACAACTCCCTCCTCATAACACGTCGTCACCACCGGGTCAAGTTCGAATTGATGAGGCTCCTTAGGGAAAAAAAATTCACCTGCTTTGACGAGGTATATTGCATCGATAGTGAGGGCTCTACGAGATACGCTGATATCGTCGCATTTCCCAAGACAGGAAGGACAGCGCTGATCTTGGATCCAACTGTCCGCTTTGAGAGCAATGACCTCGATCAGGCGGGTGAAGTGGAAAGGGAAAAGAAGAACACGTACGATAAATGTATCCCTTTCCTAAAAGAGAAATTCCGTGAGACCTTCGGAGAGAGAGAGTTCACCGTGAGAGGCCTCTGGTTTGGGTCTCGCGGAACTATCCCAAAAAGAACAAGGAGCTTCCTCGAGGAACTAGGTGTCGACATTAAGGACGTAGCGAGGTTGGCTGAAAATATAGTCCTCGACTCCCTGGGAATCATTCACCACCACGTGCATGGCTAGCCCGAGAGTTTTAATTTATGTATTTGTTTATTTATTTATTTAGTGAATAATTGAAAACAATAGCGATAAAGAGAGAGAAGTGAGAGAAAGGGAAACTTAATGTTAAATAAAAATAAAAAAAAAAGCATGAACAATGAGAAGAAGGAAAAAGGAAAAAAAAAAAAAAAATTATAAAGATAAATAAAATAATAAAAATGTATATATATATATATTTCTGTTTTACTAATATTAACTAATACTTCTGTATATTTATATATAAGTTCATATATTGTCTTAAGGATAGAAGAGTATGCTGTGTGTATAGCAACCCAATGTAATTGGGCAGCAATCCTTTATATTTTATATTTTATGAAAATAAAGTGTTTCTCTCTTGGCAGAAATGCCATCTGGTCCTGTGGAATTGGTGTGGGATTTCATTACTGCAGTTAGTAAATCAGTCGGGGAAATGTTGGAGAAATAAAAGTCATCATTAATGGTATAGAAACAAACAAACAATAAATACAAATAAAAATAACTAACTAAAAATGAACCAGTGAAGTGCCAGCCAGTATTTTAACACCTTCAGCGTTTGAATTAGTAAGAGTAAATATTATATTTCTTATAAATTGATTATATACATTATTTTTTAGTTTGTATAACTTATTAAATATTTCATTTGTCTGTTTCATGTATCATCCATCACTATGTTTTTCATTATTAACCATTATCTGGCTCTCATATCTCTGATTGTATTAAACAATTTTTAGCCCTGATGATCCATAAGCTTAGGTTAAAACGTTGGCACCAATAAAAACCTTAAAAATGACTGCGTCCTGACTATTTATCATCCATGTATTTTATCATACAAATATAATCTGAATAATTACGGATCATTATAATCAAAACCAGATCATTCATAAGGCCAGTCTACAAACATTTTGGCTTAAGGGCCTCAATGACACCTAATATGGAGTTCCAAAGGCCAAGTTCATCAAACCAACATACTCATATCATTAAATATAGTTAGGATATTCAGCTTTATTAAGTATGTCAAATATTGTTTCTTAAATTAATGTAGAATAAAATCATCTGATTATTATTTTGAATGATTCACTTGTACTTTTAATTTTACAATACAGAACAATGGTGCTCAGTTGTTTGGAAAACCTTTTATTATGTTCTTACAATTCGATACATTGATATTTTTTTGGATTTTTAATGTTCATTTTATATTGGTTTAATTTATTTTTTTAATTATGCGATATCTCCTCGGTATAAAATTTACATCGACTAGTCCAAACTTCGTATAATGTATTAAATAAAGGATAAGAATTGTGAAAAAGGTCTACTTCTGAAATGGAATATTGGAATCATTATAGACACTTTTAAAAAATTTGAACCATTCATAAGATAAATATGCAATGCAAGCAACAAAATGATAAGAATACCCTGTGTCCAATAAGCTTTCCTCTTATCTTTTCTCGAGTAAGCTCAATTGGTGTCCAAGTAACATTGATTGATGTAGAGTTGAAAGGACGAGCAGATACTTGCTGAGGAGCAACCTGTGGCATATCTTCAGCTGAATAAATGACTGTAGTATTGGAAATAGGACCAGCACCATCTGCATTAAATGCCTAAAATCAATTTTGAAAGATCAAATAAATTGTTGTAAATACAATATTACGAAACAATGTGCAACTAAAAATTTAATGTGAAATACCTGCACTTTCACATCATATTTAGTATAATAATCTTCTAATGGTACCCTCACTACAGCTATTCCTACGTTTCCCATTCCAGTTAAATTTTGAGACTGATACTCATTTTCTGAAGTACCATGACGTTTCCAAAATATTTTATAGTAAATTCCTGGTCCGTTTTGGTCTTTAGATGAAAGAGGCTGAAAATAAAAAATAGAATTCAGTTATTTTTTAGAAGTCAAAAACAAAACACTACCAAGGTTGGTCAGGGTGTGCCCCCAGGGGGGTCTCCCGACCTCAAGATTGAACCATGGCTGATGTAACAGAATAAATAATCATATGCTATGCCATCAGCCAGATTCTAACACGGGATCTCGATCTTAGGAAGTCAGTGGCTTAGCCACTGAGTTATCCTGCTCTCCAAATATATAGCTATTAATCTTATAATATTTAGATAGTACAGTTTGGATGAAGAATGAGGAAATAATACAATATAAAAAGAAAATTGAATTGAAAGGTGGAGAGGTGAGTTAATAAATGCATTTAGAAATCAATTCTTATAGAACTATTATATTCATGTTGTAATACACTTACCTCCCATGTTATAATAAGATCACCGATTTTTCCTCCACCTCCACTTATTTTGTCAGGTACTTTGTAAGGTTTATCACTACGAGTTCTGTATTTCGGAGAAGGTAATGAAGATATTCCAAGCCCTAGAATATTTCCAGCCTGAACAACAAATTCATATAATGAATAGGGAGTTAAAACATTTTCAAGTTGAGCTTCTTTTCTACCATTATATCTATCAACTTCTCTTGCAACTATATCTGTAACATTGAAAAATATATATTGCTATACACAATAAGATGATAAATAATAATAATAAAGAATATAATTTGATTACATTGCAAAATAATTGAGCAAAAATTTTAGAAACATTATATAAAGTAATAAATGATGGCATATGATTACTATGGCGCGGATAGTATTTGATGATATATATGACCTATATGATCTTTTTTTATCTAATTTGCACTAAAATAAATCTGTTTTCCGATTTCTTAAAAAGACAAAAGATCTATTCTAGGTTCTTTATCACAAAATATTATATGTGCTTTTATGTAAAACTAAGTATGTAATTATATCAATTTAATGGGAGAAAAAATGAGCAAAGCTTTCGTAATATCCAAATATTTGTCCCAAAAACATTAATAAGTAATATTCAGAAAAAAGAGAACACTTGCATTTTGAGTCTGAGGAAGTTATCAATTTCTTAACTTTGATTCACAGAAAGATTTGCTGTTTACATATGGTGCTTCCATTGATTTGATTTTTATTTCCGAAAACACTTAAGTTCCCCAGAATGCTTGACATAATCCTTCTGTTAGTTTTTGTCTTTGTGAAAGAGTGGTTGATATTTTTGTACTTAGCAATGTTAATTACTAATTCTCAATCTATAAAATGCTGAATGTGAGTTACTAACGAAAATCTTTATTACAGATATGGGTTCTAGAATAAGAGATACTTCCAATAAATCCAGACAAGAACATTTATTCTTAAAATTTGTACAAACTGAAAATATTATAATTTATTTGTCTATTCTTATAGCTCTAATTTTAAGTAACTTAACAGACGATACGGACAACTATATAGACTATTGAATAGAAAATCTCAACTTGCAGTCGACAACAAACTACTAATGTACAAGACAATCCTGAAACCTATTTGGAACTACGGAATAGAACTGTAGGGGACAGCAAAACCTTTTAACATCAAACGCATTCAATCATTCTAGTCTAAAGTCCTCCAATCAATAGTCGATGCTCCCTTCTATGTATCCAATAAAACTATCCATAATGACCTTCATATCCCATTTGTTCTTGACCTAATCCCAGACAAATTTTATCAGAACCTCATTCATCATCCAAATCCTGTAGCACAATCCCTATCTAGCTCCAGCCATCCCTACAATCCTCCCCGGAGGTTAAAACGCCAGTAGCCCCGCGACCTTCTGTAAATATTTATATACTGGAGTCCTGGCAATGGTCAGATTCTCCACTCAAGACATGAGCGTCTGTTGCTGTAGTGCCCTCCATCAGTTTCCTCTGGTTTCTATTAACAGTGATGTGGCTGAGAGAGAAGCACTGGGATCTTCTGGAGTCCTGCCTTGGCTTCCACATCAGGGGATAAAGCATGACTCAGAGTCCCATGGATGAATTTAAATATTATACATAGGTGTGAATGTGTTTTATTTATTTTAATTTCATTTAGCTTTTATCTATTATTTCATTTTTTGTACACAGGCATATTAATTTACTTATTTTATTTTTCTACATTTCTTTTTCTTTATTATTTCTATCTTAGTTATTATTTGTATGTACATATTGTGTGAATGATTCATGTAGCCTTAATATGAATGAATGATTTTTTATTGAGTGTTTATACAATATCATACAACAAAAATATCCAAGCTCAATAAAAAATATATACGGCTTGGTTCTTAAAACCGTCAGCCAGAGGCTGGCCTTGGCAATATAAGTATTATTGATATAATAATATAAACTAAAACATAATATGTTAATGTTAATAAATACAGTGTTAATGCTAACAAATACCGAAATACAATGTATCAGTTCCTAATATCACAAATATAATTACACATATATAAATACATACACATTTTTAATATAGATATTTCAATATAATTACATAAATAATTTTTCCGGCTTATTCGTCATTAACATAATTCGTCCAATAATTAAATTCTTGGCATAAGGCAAATCTGTATTGCCAGGTAGGCTACTTTACAATAATTGGATAGACTTACTCAATTTTTCCATTTAAATGTGCAATTATTTCCCCAAATGTCAGACTATCTTTTCTAAAATATTTTCTCCTAAGTTCCACCAGAACAGGACATACACCAAGGAAATTTGCGATATTTTCTATTTCATTCCTATTGCATGATGAACATAATTTATTACTTTTTCATAATATACCCTACAGTTTAATTGTATTAGTTCTGCTCTGGCCTTAAATATCCATTTTATAATTGTTTCATTATATTTCTTATTGAAATAATTGTTCCCTGATATATCATGATTTAAGTTTTTGTATATATTAGTTCTATCTGAATTTTTGGCTAGGGTTTTGTGCCGATTTTCTAATTGTATTGCCAGTTTTTCTCTTATTTTCTGAAAATGCACATTCAATTTATTTATGTTATTAAAATCAAAATCTATTTGGTATTGATTTGTTAAACGTTTTACCTCTTTATACCAGTCTATTTCTTTTTTAATTATTTCTTTTGCTATTATTTTGGGTAAAATATTATCCGAATACTGCATAACTCTACATATATAATCATGATGTGCTTTTACGTTTTCTAGATGCAACGGAGTTAATTGCGTTCCTGTATGAATAATATATGCAGGTGTATATCTGGGTAAATTTAATATTTTTTTTAATGAAATAGTACTGAACTTTTTCAACTTCTTTATATTCACAACCTCCCCACACTTGCGCACCATAACCTACAATTGGACGTTATAGTTAAATCAATTATAGGTTACGTAGCCTAAATATGAATGCCCTTTAATGTTGCAGAATGTATTAATATTCAATAAAAAAAAAAAAATTCAAGTACATAGAAGTACTTTGATGGCTTTTAACACATCTCAGTGCAGTTAACACTAATGTATAGTTAGTTACAAAATCATACATTTTCTGTTCCATTATCAGTTTTCAAAATTTTTATTCATGAGTATTTTTAAAATTTTAGTTAAATTAAAAATTTAGTCATAAGAAGTTGTACTACATTATTTACTTAATGTGGATAATTCCCTTATCTATATATATATTTCTTAAATAAAATAAAAAAAGCTCCTCTCTGATGAAGAAGTTTAGGAACTTTTTTGTTATATCAATTTTTAATAAAAAATTAAATTATTCATCATCAATTCTATGTAAAATGAGAAATTCTATTATATATTTATTTTCAATGAAAGAGATATTAACAATGTTACAATTTACTTCAGAAATAATATGAATTTAATAAAATTTGATCATTTCTTAACACATTGATGCAAACCAACCATGAAATTCAGTGCATTTCTTTATTAGTTGATTGAATTACCCATGGCTCAGCAGTTCTATTGGTTTTTGGGGTCGATGGATCCCCTGGATGTAACCTCAGTGTTATTTCTCAATTTACTTTAGATATATATCTATATTCGTTTTATTTTATGAGTTCCTAAACTCAGTGTTGAGCTCATTGACAGCATTAAATCTATCTCTAAACTAGGAGCAACAATGCCATGAGCTTAGCACAGCATTTATTAACTTGCCCTATTATCTGATTTGAAATTCAATAATTCATTATTTTTTTATTTATAGGTATTTCCTTATACATTTTTTTTTTATTTTTAATGTATTTATTAACCTTCTACAGATTGTTTCTAAACTCAGAATAAATCATTGCTGGATTTAATCCATTAATGAAATCTATCAATGGAATTAGGGCTGAGTTTGGTAACTTGCCCTTTTAGTTATCGAGTAATATTAGTTCTAATTTTTGTAAACATTATGTTTTAATGGTTCTACTTAGTTTAACATGTTTATTTATGTTTTTTAAGGTTTAACAATGGTTTATACTCTTCAAACATTATTGTATGCAATAAATTATTTTTAATAAATGATTTAACATCTGAACAGTTCTCTTCAGTATCAGTGTTTGACCTCAATCCAATCAAATGATAAGTTTGCCATGTTCCCTTAACCAATCCGCCCACCTAAATTAAGCTACATTAATTTGCAAAAAACAAAAAGCACAACATAATGCTGTGAGGTGATCATACAAAATGTGGATTACCACATAAAAAAATATGTCATCTCTTTTTGTGAAAATAAAATAGGCAATCAAGATTAAAAATTAATTAAAGAAATTAACGATACTTGTAAATATAAATATAAAATAAAATAATCATACTTCAATTGGTTAAAACTAATAAACAAAATTGGTTAAACAATACACGATTGGTTAAAAAAATAAAGAGTTTTGGCACTTATATTTATAAAACTAAGATTACTAATGAATATAAAAGGAACTAAATTGCCTAAGAATATACAAATAAAAATATATACAACTAAGAAGGTTTGTTGACAACATGTTAAGAGGAAATAATAAAGACACGATGGAATGAACCTAACATGCTACAAGAACTTTAGACAGTGATTGTTCTTGACAAGTTTTGGTCGTCACTCTGTGGTCATGTAGTTCCAGGTGACTTTCTGGTCATGCTAGAAGTGAGTGATCCAAGACTATTTGCTGTAGCCCCAAGCGTTGAAGCTACCATTGGAGAGCTTTGAAGTTAACCCTTCATGGTGACGTTCTGACAACTGGTGGCCAAGGTGACTTGTGTGTTTTGAACGTTTGCTGCTTCCTTCAGCTTTAAGGTGTTTCATGTTCTCACCATGTTTTTTGAAGTCAAAGTGATTGATGGAGTGGCATTTGTTGTTTTTGGGACTTCTGTGAGAGTGAATGAGTCACGAACAATTGCTGTTTTGGTTGCGTCAGGACTGACTGCTGTTTCTGGTGGTACCTAAATGAGTACCTGTAGCGTGCTGTAGCACCAAATGTTGTGGCGGCAGTTGCCATGCAAAATGGTGGGTCAAGTGCATCAAATGCTGTTGTGAATGCTGCTTCGCTAAGTGCTGTGGCAATTGTTGCATTGCTAAAATCCTATGAAGGTTGGTGCTGCACTGAGTGGTACAATGGTTTTCGCTGTGCCAAGTGTTGTCTTTGGAGTAGAAACTGCTTTTGCTTCCG